AAAGGAACATTGCTGGAGTCGTTGTTTACGACGAGTTGTTGGGAAGAATTGCTCGTTCCAAAAAAAGGTATCGTGATTCGCACGTAGATTCACGGTGTATCGTTAATTCTTCGCATTTCTCTGAGATTCGAACGAAATGTTAAATAAAGATTTCACAATTATCGAGCACGTTCTGTTCCTCTAAAAGAAACCTTCCAGATCTCTCAATATCTCTCTCGTGAATTTTTCGATTTCGTTTTTTTGAATTCGTTGATTACCAAATCGAAAGATTTGAAGATGAGAAGTTATCGAGAGAGTCGGCGGATTCTAATTTCCGTTTCGTTGTTAATTAAATGCTCGAAGATGATAACCGAGTTAATTAATCGAAGCTGAAAGTTTTATCGAAAATCGTTTGAGAAAATTTCGAGAAAAATCTCGTCAACGATTATTTCCTTCCTCCTCCTCCTCTAAAATAGTTCCAAAAATTATCCTTGAAATTGTTGTACACTTGAAAAATTAAATGAAACGATGTCTTTTTTAAATCGGATATCGTGAGAAATTTCTGTGACTTGAAAATCGACGTGGAAATTATTATTATCGGTATGGTTTTTTCCTTAATGATTTTCCTCTTTTTCAAAATCAAATATTATCGAAAATCCCGAGAGAGAGAAACGTGGTGGACAGTGTGAAAAGATGGGGGAAAATAGGATTATATCCCATTTTACATTTATGCTTTCTCCTCGAGAAGAGGCTTGAAAATGTACACAAACCCGTAAGAAGCCGCCATTGCACCCCGGGGAGCGGTAACACCGAGTCTTCGAGTCCTGGCTGGATACACTCTAGAAAGCCGGAATGTAAATGGCCGTTCTTGGCAACTCGATTAATTAAATTGCCCTTCTCTCTCGCCATCGTGTTTACGTTTTATTCTGGAGGGGAGGGGGGGAGAAATTCCTTCGAAAAATCGACAATTCGCCTCGATAATCTTTCAAAAATTGCGAAACATAAAAATAATTTAGTTAACACTTGTTACGATACGAGTGAAAAAGAATATTTTGAAAAAAAAATATTTAAAAATAAATAATAAAATAATAAAAATAAATAATAAAATAATAAAAATAAATAATAAAAATGAATAATAAACAAAAGACTCGATGAGATAGATAAATCCAAAATAAATAAATAAACTTTGAAAAATAAACTTGTTCTATCCATACGCTATATTACTTTCCTCGAGCTTTATCTCGATGCTTTCTGGCCATATCTCGTAAATCGAATTTATTTACGAATCCCAGCGAATCGTTACATCGAGCCAGGTATAAAAAAAAAAAGCCCTGTATCACCCTATTCGAAACGACCAACTTTTTTGCGAAAATTCGAAAATTTCCTTCCTATTTTCCCGAATGGAAAAACGAACGAGCAGGCTGAGAAAGAATGAAACGGCGAGAAGGAATCAACGGGTCATCATTCGAATTCCTTGTTCCCAATTTATGGAAACAACCGGAAGGAAGCCGATCTGTCGCCATAACAATAATCCGTAAGAACGGGTGCGGTGTTATAAAGACGAAAATCCATGTTCTCTCTGATCGGCGAGGCGCCGTTTCCACGAACCGATACGCGCCGCTTTATCGTCCGTTTTCACGACGCCGTAAGGGGGAATGCATTTACTCTGAGGACATTGAGCGCCCCTCCCCCGCGATAACAAAGTGAACGCGTTTCAACGTTTGAATAAAAGAAGAGGGGAGGAGGAAATTGTTTCGAAGCAAGTTTTTCTTCGGAAAATAGTTGGCCGAGTTATTCTTGTTCCTCGTGATGGTGATTCTGACGTGGAAAGATTGTTTCGCATCTAGAGATCTTGACAAATTCGATTATTCAAGCAATAGATCAATCAAATTATTCAAGCAATAGATTATCAACATGTGTATATCAACATGTTCGTATTGATCATGAAATGAGTCTATTTAAAGGTTTAATAATTTGTTTAACCGATTTGTACGTGGCAATTGGAATTTAATTTCGTTTCATTTTATTATAAAAATATATATCTTTATATGTAGATTTATATGTTGCTGTGTCATATTGCTGCTATGCTATTAAGATCGATGCTATAGATTGCCTGAGTACTTGACAACAATTTAGTTCGTTTCATCTTATTGTAAAAATGTACATCTTTATATGTAGATTGATATTGCTGTGTCCTGTCGCTATTAAGATCAATGCTATCAATTGCACGTGACAACAATTTAATTCGTTTGATCTTATTTTAAAAAAATATCTTTATATGTAGATTGATGTTGCTGGTATTAATTGCCTGAATACTTGACAACAATTTAATTCGTTTCATTTTATTATACAAAAATATATCTTTATGTATAGCAATATAGTTATGAGTAGCAATATAGTTGATACAATAGCAATATAGTTATATTGCTATTGTACTATTAAGATCGATGCTGTCGATTGCCTGAGTAATCATTTTATTATAAAAAAATATATCTTTATATGTAGATTGACGTTGCTGTATTATATTGCTATTGTACTATTAAGATCGATGCTATCGATTGCCTGAGTAATCATCTTATTATAAAAAAATATATCTTTATATGTAGATTGATGTTGCTGTATTCTATTGCTATTAAGATCAATGCTATCAATTGCACGTGACAACAATTTAATTCGTTTGATCTTATTTTAAAAAAATATCTTTATATGTAGATTGATGTTGCTGGTATTAATTGCCTGAATACTTGACAACAATTTAATTCGTTTCATTTTATTATACAAAAATATATCTTTATGTATAGCAATATAGTTATGAGTAGCAATATAGTTGATACAATAGCAATATAGTTATATTGCTATTGTACTATTAAGATCGATGCTGTCGATTGCCTGAGTAATCATTTTATTATAAAAAAATATATCTTTATATGTAGATTGACGTTGCTGTATTATATTGCTATTGTACTATTAAGATTGATGCTATCGATTGCCTGAATAATCATTTTATTATAACAAAATATATCTTTATATGTAGATTGACGTTGCTGTATTATATTGCTATTGTAATCATCTTATTATAAAAAAATATATCTTTATATGTAGATTGATATTGCTGCATTATATTGTTGCTATGCTATTAAGTTCAATTGCTCGAGTGCTTGCACCTGACAACAATTTATTCATTTTACTATAAAAAAATATATCTTCATATGTAGATTGATACAATAGTAATATAGTTATATAGTTATATTGCTATTATACTATTAAGATCAATGCTATCGATTGCCTGAATAATCATTTTATTATAACAAAATATATCTTTATATGTGGATTGACGTTGCTGTATTATATTGCTATTGTACTATTAAGATCGATGCTATCGATTGTTTGAGTAATCATTTTATTATAAAAAAATATATTTTTATATATAGATTGATCTAATAGCAATATAGTTATATTTTTATATGTAGACTGATATTGCTGCGTTGTACTGTTGCTATGCTATTAAATTCAATTGCTCGAGTGCTTGCACCTGACAACAATTTATTCATTTTATTATAAAAAAAATATACATAATATCTTTATAAGTTGATGTTGCTGAATCGTATTGCTGCTATGTTATTAAGTTCGATTGCCCGAGTGGTTGCACGAGACAACAATTTATTCGTTTCATTTTATTATAAAAAAAATATATCTTTATATGTAGATTGATGTTGCTGCTATGCTATTAAGATCGATGCTATCAATTGCCTGGGTAATTGCACGTGACAACAATTTATTCGTTTCATCTTATTATAAAATATACATGATATCTTTACATGCAAGTTGATATTGCTGTATCGTATTGCTGCTATGCTATTAAGCTCGATTGCCCGAGTGCTTGCACGTGACAACAATTTATTTCGTTTCATCTTATTATAAAAAGAATATACATGATATCTTTACGTGTAGGTTGANCTCACGAATACTTAAGCCTTAATGACAAATATTTATAAAAATATTCGAATGCTGTTTGGTGTACCACATCAATTGCTGGTATGTTTTTCTGTGAAAATTATAAAAATTTCAAACTTATCGTGAATCTGCTCTCACGAATACTTAAGCCTTAATGACAAATATTTATAAAAATATTCGAATGCCGTTTGGTGTACCATATCAATTGCTAATCAATTTGTTGTCAAGTAGCCAACAATCCTTAAGCGAATGAATCACAATTAAACAATTAATCGATCAATAAATCTGTATTCAATGAAGAAGAAAGGACAAAATGAATTCAACGTACGTAAAATGCACGTTATTTGTTATGAACTAGCACAGATTTCACAGTTTTCGTGAAGGATAGAGGAAGATAGAGTCGTAAAGGGATTACGCTCAAAGTTAACGCGGTCCCGTTAAGAAACGTCCTGATAAAATAAAATCTTAATCCCGGCCACCGAAGATTTAAGATCCCTTTACCCTTGTTTTCCACTCCTGTCCGGGCCAACATCCACCCTTGGCCATTCTCTTCTTTTCCTCCTCCTCCTCCTCCTCCTCCTCCTCTCTCCCTCTCTCTCTCTCTCTCTCCCTTATTCCCCTTTGTCGACCATTGCCAGCTTTTACGGCTTACTGGCTCGATTATTAGACGTGTCTCGTTTTCATGAAACAACCCCCCACACCCCACCCTCCTCGGTTTCGTGGCCCCCAAGGTTGTATTAACCCGTGTAATTTTATTACCACGGTATTGCGTGTGGCAAGAGTTCTTTTTTTTTTTTTTTTTTTCCTTTTTCCTCTCTCGTTTTTTAATCTCCTCTCACAAGTTGGTAAATTTCACTCGCAGTGTTTCTCCCTTCCAGAGGAACAAGAATCTTTTTAACTTATAAAGATAATTTCGTTTAATTTCGTAATCTAAAAAAATTTTTTCCATTTTTCCTAATTTATTTATTAATTTTAATCCTTTGTGGATGCGCGAAAGAAAGATCGAGAATTCGAATTTGGAAAACGAACGTGAGGCTGAAGCTTCTCTCTTCACCTTTCCTTTCCAGCACCAATGGCTACGTGTGCCTGATGTTCCACAGAAGGGACAGCCACATAATAGAGATGCAACTGTCGGAATGGAGCCAGCAACCCGACGACGTGTGCAACTCGAGTACGTTCAACTCCCACTCGACGCCGTACACGACGTTCATCAGTAAGTCAATTACCAATCATTTATTAACTCACTGTGTGTACTCTTACAATTCGCCATTTCTCGTCGCTTCTTCTCCCCTCGACGAGGACCTCGAAGCGATCTCGATCGTCGAGGAGAACGAAAATTTTCCTTTCTCTCTCTCTCTCTCTCTCTCTCTCTCTCTCGAGAAGAGAGAGAGAGAGAGAGAAACGCGTGAAAGAGGAAAAGTTTGGCTCGACTTGTTCCCACTTCGACGGTAGATATCCTCCTAATTGACAGATCGAACGGAATATTAATCGCGGCCGCGACTTCGAAACGCGGTTCCTCACTGTCGCAGTTTCTCGTTTCGCTGAGCTCGAAAATAAAACCGCCGGCCGTTAGAATTAAAAGTGATATTTCACTGTCGAAAGTTGCCAGTGAGAAGAAATAATAAAAAAACAGGGGAGGGGAGGGGAGAAGAGGGTGGGGGGCGCGGATAATAGAAATAAAAAGAGGATGGAAAAAAAAGGAAGGGAGGGGGGGAGGAGAGCGGGAACAAAAGGGAAATGGAAGGGAAATATAAAATATGACAGTGGGCGCGGTAGAGGGGGAAGATGGCGCACCCCTCCAATGGACCACTCTTGAAACACGATGAAATTATTTCGCGAGAATACCCCTCCCTCTCCCCCTCCCCCTCCTTCCTTCCCAATCTTTACACGTGTATCGATAAATAACGTCTCAACAATGGCCAGTTTATCGTTTGTATTACTCCACGATAAATGTCGCTCTTCCAAACGAAATTGTACAATAATAATAATCTGTCAAAATTTGGAAGTAGGAAAGAGAATTCGATATTTATATTTTTATATCTATTCTTTCTTCCATTTCTCTCCTTTTATGAACACCTTTCAAATTATATAATATTTGTATAGAGTTCGAAGAAAATTTTTATAATTCTATCATACGTCGAATCGATAGATTTTTTTTTTTTTTTGATTTCAATTTTTGTTTCAGTTTTTAATCAATTTTGCCACTCGATTGAAATTCGTTATTGAAATTAAATTAAAAAAAAAGTAGAGACGGAAATAGAAATAACGGTGGATAAACGATTCATCGAATAATCTTATCCCTTCCCTTCGATACAATTTTTCTTCCATCCCCCGTTTCTCGCTGCGCAACAACAATCTCGTGTTTTCCGATCCGCGAATTTCCCTGTATCGAGAAAAAAAGAGAAAAAGAAATACAGTGGGGGTGGAGGAAAAAATACGAGGAACATTTTTAATTCCACAAAGTGGCCCAAAGTGCGGGAGCGAGCAGCGCAAACAACAGGAAGTTCCGCTTTTGTAATCTGGATCCGTGGAAACCGGAAGCGGTGGCGGTCGAAACTGATTTTCAACCGCGTCTGGAAATCAATCGAAGGGGGGGTCGTTTCCCCTCTCGCCAATCGAATTCAGTGTCTCTGCTTTGTTTCGATCTTGTTCTCCGAATCTCTCGAACCTTCCTGCTCGACCAATCTGCTCGAATCTCGTTCGTTCAAGAAGAAGAATCGTTCCGCTCGAGAAACGAACGTTCGTTTTTTTTGACAATTATTCATTGGATCTATTTAAACAGTGACAGTGTGTGATGGAAAAGAGAAAAAATTGCGAGAAAATTCTCGAATATTGTTAATTTTCAATTGGAAGAAAAATATAAGAATAATAATCGAGATAATAATCGTCGGTTTTTTAGGTAAATATTATCTTTTCTAAATAAGATTCGTTTTAGGGTAAATGTACAGGGTATATCGATATATTTGTGGAAAATATTTTTGGAAAAATAGAGTAAAACAAAAGTTGATGAAGAGAAAAATATCGCTTAATAAGGTTTGTTTATTAAATTATAAATAATTTAAAAGAAAGAGAGCTTTATTTCGAACCTCAGGAATCGATCTTCCAAAACTACTCCAAATTAATATTATACATGGAATCCTTATTAATATTAGAAAAAAGAAGAAAAATTTTCCACAAATATATCAAACACTCTGTATATTTTATCATCGATCGATAAAATCATTCCTCTAGCTCTGACTATTACCTTATTACTACTCATCACTAGAAGAGATTAAAAAAATAGTAAATTATAAACAATTTAAAAAAGAGAGATGGCTGTGTGACAGAGTTCCATTTTGCCTTTGTTTCTAACCCCAGGAATCGATCCTCCAAAACTACTCCACATTAATATTACACATGGAATTCTTATTAACATTAGAAAAAAAGAAGAAAAATTTTCAAACATAACAAATATATCAAATACCGTATATAATCATCAATCAAAAAAAAAAAATCCTTATTAGAAAAAGAGAAGAAAAATATTTCACAAAATTTTTATAAATTTTCATAAATATATATCAAACACCCTATATAATCATCGATCAAAAAAAGAATCCTTATTAACATTAGAAAAAAAGAAGAAAAATATTCCACAAAATTTCTACAAATTTCCACAAATATATATCAAACACCCTGTATAATCATCGATCAAAAAAAATCCTTAACATTAACATTAAAAAAAAAGAAGAAAAATATTCCAAAATAAAATTTCTACAAATTTCCACAAATATATCAAACATTCTCTATAATCATCAATCAAAAAAAGAATCCTTATTAACATTAGAAAAAGAGAAGAAAAATATTCCACAAAATTTCTATAAATTTCGACAAATATATATCAAACACCCTGTATAATCATCGATCAAAAAAAATCCTTATTAACATTAAAAAAAAAGAAGAAAAATATTCCAAAATAAAATTTCTACAAATTTCCACAATATTAAACATTTATATATTAAACATTTATATATTAAACATTTTGTATAATCATCGATCAAAAAAAAAAATCCTTATTAATATTAAAAAAAAAGAGAAGAAAAATATTCCACAAAATTTCTATAAATTTTGACAAATATATATCAAACACCCTGTACAATCATCGATCAAAAAAAGAATCCTTATTAACATTAGAAAAAGAGAAGAAAAATATTCCACAAAATTTCTATAAATTTCCACAAATATATATCAAACACCCTGTACAATCATCGATCAAAAAAAGAATCCTTATTAACATTAGAAAAAAAAAAGAAAAATATTCCACAAAATTTCTATAAATTTCCACAAATATATATCAAACATCCTGTACAATCATCGATCAAAAAAAGAATCCTTATTAACATTAAAAAAAAAAAAGAAAAATATTCCAAAATAAAATTTCTACAAATTTCCACAATATTAAACATTTATATATTAAACATTTATATATTAAACATTTTGTATAATCATCGATCAAAAAAAAAAATCCTTATTAACATTAAAAAAAAAGAGAAGAAAAATATTCCACAAAATTTCTATAAATTTCGACAAATATATATCAAACACCCTGTACAATCATCGATCGATAAAATCGATCGATGGTTCCCTCTAATCCTGTACGTGACTCATCGTACGCCAGAGAGCGGCTAGAAGTGGGTAGTAAAAGTTGGGAAAAGTGGAAGGGCAAACAAAAGGTAAACACGGAGTGGAGTAATTTCAGCGTGGTCTAGACGACGGCGAGGCGGAAGCATGAATGCCGTCACGACCAATTCCTCTCTCCCTCCGTCACTGTTATGGAATCGCGTAATCGGCTTAAGCAGGGAGAGGAAACTGTGTTGCCTCCCTCCTCCTGTCGAGGAGGAGGACCTCCTCGAGGTTTACGACGGATTCGGCATATGATCCTTTCCGCGATCGTAAAGGAGCCTCTCGATCGATCGTACGACCTCCTCCCCCCCTCAACTTCCTCTTTGTGCCCTTCGCGTTTCCGTCTCGACGATGTTTGCACCGCGTTTCCCATTCTTCGTCGAGGAGGGAGAAGGGCGATTTTAAGGGCTGTCTCGGTTGATGTCCCGTCGGAAATGAACGAATGAACGGGGTTGGAGAATAGCAACACGCTTGGAATTTCAGACGGCCAGATATTTCTATTATCGAATTTGGCTTTTTAATTTGAATTAATTCGTGAGAAGGTGAAAAAGGAAATCGTTAAGATCGTAAAGATGCGAAGGGGAAGTGGAGTAGAGAATAATTGGAGAGAAAGTTAGTGTTATAATAGCAAAATTTTTATTATTATATCGAAGTAATTTTAAAAATGTTTGGAAAATTATTAATATTATTAATATTATAAAATTTAACAAGAAATGTAGAGATAGATGATTATTTTGTCTGAAATAATGGAAGAAGAAACAAATGTAAAGATAAGTTTGAGTAAATCCTGTTCCAACGAATATATAGATACTCTGGCCAAAAAAATGGATAAGAAGATTTTGATTAATTTTATAACTCACGTTTTCAGCGTCGGACCCTATCACCAGGCAGTGTCCGAACCTGGGTCGATACGAGATCGTGTCCGTGTTACATTCTTACAACAGCGTGGAGGACATATTGGGGGTGGACGGTGACCAGAGCATGGCGAATGCGGCCGAAGTTCAGGATGTTAGGGTGACGTCGACACCCTATCCGGGTCGGTGCCGTTATGGCAGTGTCCGCCGATTGGATATCGGTTGCAAAACACCGGATCGCATGGAATTCGCTACGTCGTGCAGCGATGAAACTCCATCAGGTAAAATTTTTGGTAAATTTTTTTTTTTTCTCAAATTTTCAATCCAATGACAGGGTAAGTTTATTAATTTCGTTTCAAAGTTCAAATTCTGATGAGATTATAAATCTGATTCGAGCCGAGGGAATAAACAATTCAAATGAAAATAAATTTGGATACGTTTTTTGTTTTTATATCAAATTTTATTTTAAGATAGAGATTAAAAAAAATATATATATATAAAGATCCAGAAATATTCTTAATTAATTTATTCCTCTTGACACTAACTTGACGCTAATTTTAGTTTTTTGATGGATAGAGAATTGCCTCGTTTAATCCTGTTGTATAATATTGTTAAATTATTCTTGTCTTTCCGAAGAAATTTACGGATCTAATCGAATTATATCGAATCTTCGTTCCTTGTTTGTTCCTTGTTCGTCCTTATATAGGTAAACAATTATATTAACTAATTTTTTTATTTTGGAGATAAAGAAAATAACCTCGAAAATATTCATTGTATGTATGTTTCTAATTTTGTTATATGAACTTTTTCAATTGTCATCATCCCATTATTATTATGTTATTATTATGTTGTGAACAAAAGGGTTACAAAAAAAATCCCGAGCGATTAATGCTTGTTTCTCTATTTACGATATTTTTCCTTCCTCCGCTGACATTTCTGTTATATTATTATCCCCCTCCAAAACAAGGGAAACGAAGACATAAAAATTCCTGACATCCAACGAGATGACGAGGGCAAGGAAAGTGTCTGAGAACATTGATAGCTTTGGAACATGGCTTTTGACGTTTCTCAGACGCGAATCCTCATGTTGGGGCGGCTATATCCGAGGGGCGGCTACCCTCTTCAATTTCGTAAAACGTCGTTGAATAACTCAGTTTCTCAGAAGCAATTTCGGAGGAGTAGTTTAAAGTGACTCGAAGAAATAAAGGTAATTGTACATAAATGAATACAATTACGTATATTTAAATACATGTCGATTAAAATATGTTTCAAATTATTTAAAACCATCAAATCTCTTCTCTCTGTCCATCTAGACATCTATTCATTTTACCATTTCTCAAATGTTAGAACACGACTCGTAGGTTGAGAGACACTGGCGCCAGTGTGTCCTTTTCTCGTTATAAAAGTCTGGAAAGTGCCTAAAGATGTCATCAACCGACTCTTTCTCTCCAAAAACCATTCCAATCTCCTCTCTAGTCTCCTCCCCCTCGATTGTCACACCTGTCTTACCTGTATCTCACCTCTTTGGAATCGTCAGAGCGTCAGAGGCATCAGAATCGCAACAAGCAACAGTCGAACAAAGTCTCATAGGATTAAGGCCGAGTTATTCCCTATTGAGAGAGACGCAACCTATTTCTTCTTCCTTCCTTCTCTAAAGTAGCTAAGTTCACGAAGAGCGAGCTGCGTGACGGCGTTGCCCCTCACTCCACCCTTCCTTATACGCAAACTTTGCAGCTTTATTCGAGTGTACGTGTTTATGACGCGTGCCTGCAGATCCGCTCTCGTTCAAAGGTTAGGCAGAATTGGGTTCAGAGACTTTGGTTGGCCGGCTGGGATTTTTGATACGTGAATAGTTGCCAGGTGAAGTTGTCGTTCCTTGATCTTCTCGAGCAGCAATGAGGGATGATCAGGGATTTATGGGGTGAATGGTCAAAGATAGGAGCCGTTGCGTTGTTGCGAGATCTTGAGAGGTTGAGACCAAAGAAAGAGGTGCGAGTTCTTTGGATGGTTGTGGCTGAAAATAACATTTGTCGAGTAAAATAGATGAGTGATGGATTACTTGTCGGTGTATGAGTCATCTAAATAAAAATCGTTGTTAGGATTAATTATTAATTAATCGAACAGTGTTCAGTAGTGTATCTTGAGATTCGAGTAATTGCATCATTTCGAAAGTTATTCCGTTATTTATTTTCAGCAAGATTCTAATCCCAACTGTAAATGAAATGAACACTGTTGTAGAAATAGATGTGATTAACGATCGTTGTTAATAGAACTGGTTTCGAGATGTTCCTCTTCCTGGAAAATTGAGATCCCTGTTTGTGGGAAGTCTTAACGACCAATTCGCGTTTCTTAGGTTAAAAGAGGAACTGGAATCCCCTTGTTGACAATGTTAAGACACGAGAATCCGACAGGATAAATCCTCAGGTTATGTCAATGCTCTTCTTCCCCGTAAAACAATTCTAGATACAGAAATATCCTCGCATTTCCATCGATTTTTGTCTCCTCTGCGAGTGTATTTATTAAAAGAGGATATTTCGAAGAAGAAGCAAAGTTGAGTACAATTATATTCCATGGAGAAGGGTGTTACTAATTTGTAAAGATATGAAAGCTATTATTAATGGAACAATTTTTAAAAAAGTAAAAACGTCGTAATATAATTTATAACCATCACATTCATTTCGATAATGAATACGTTAAAATTAATTTACCTTGAATCTAATAATATTCAGTTGAATCTAAATTAAAAGGGAGCCAAAGTTTTAAAGTACGATTAAAATATTACATTTTTATTCGCACTGTATAACGAATATACGTCGTCAGAGTGGATTTTAATTAATATCGTCGAAAGCTAGCAAGTTCCCTCTTTGAAATGCTTTTCGAATTGTGTCGATACGACGCTCCGTTCCCAAGATATCGTCCTATAAAGAGGAGCATAATTTCGTAATATTTCATCTCCATCGCGCGCCACTCACTGACCTATTCCATTCCCCCTCCACCTCCTTCTTCTCCCCTCCTCCCACTCGTGTCAGCGAGAGACGTTGAGTCAGCAATACTTTTTTCACCATTCCTAGTAAGCACTCAACATACGCACTTCTAGGAATAAAGTGAATCATAGGGATCACTAGACGTCGCCATCTTCCACTTTAAGCGGTCAAACTTTGGACCCGCGTATCTCGGGAACGGATTGAGCTATCGACTTGGAATAAAGTGCATTTTCAAGAGCGTTCACTGCTTCGAGATTTATTCCCAAAAGAAAATATCGAATTCTTTTAGAAGTTACTGATAAAATTCATTCTTGATTATACATTACGTTGTAATTCATTTTATTAAAATTATTCGAATATTTTTACAAATATTTTTCGAATAAATAAATACTCGAATACCTCGAATTTAAATCGTATCTTTATCGTTCTTTTACACGCTTTGTTCAAATTTTCTCAAGAGATTGCACGCGTTCCATGACATCATATTTAAAAAAAGAAAAAAAAAAGAGACAAAAGGAAAAACAAGCGAAAGGAAACAATTTCAGAAACGCGCTCCAAATGTAAAGAAGCAATCGAACGGAAGAATCTATCAGTATTTGTGGATCAGAGGCGACAATGCCGAGTGACGTCCCCCTATTTTTGCCCCTTTTGAAAGCATATTTGGTGAAAAGGTGCAACCTTCTTCTCTGTCCGCTGAATTTTCCCCGTTGTTTATTTCCGTTTTCTGCGAGCTGTCGCGCGGACGCTGTAAATTCTCATCTTTCTATCTTTCCAGCCCCGATAAGGTATCCGAGGAGCCGAGACAACACGCCAGATATCGACATGTCGAAGCGATTTACGGCTTTCGTTTATTTCGTACCCGTTTGTGCGCCTTTTGCTCCTCCACAACTCGTAACACACAGTCGACCTTTTTCCACTCTAAAAGCCGCGTGTCCTTTGTCCGGGGTGGGGAGGAGAGGAAGGGGGATCTCTATGCTGTGAGGACCATTTTTCAAGGATTACTTGAAACGATTTACACGACGATGTCAACGTCGCAGTTAATTTGGGAAGGGGGATGAAACAATTCCAGATATTTTGCCCCTCTCTTATAAATTGCGCGCCAATATATCGGAAGAATCTTTTCGTCTCGTCCTTTCAATAATATCTTATCATCTTGCTCGTATCATTCCGGATTTTTTCCCGGATTACTTTTAAGATCATCGTCGAACTTAACTTGTCCATTTTTTTTTTTAAATTCTGCGAGATAAAACGAAGATAAGATAGGTTAAGACAGAAAAATATTTATAATAATGTTCAGAAAAAAGAAAATGTCGATCGTTTCACGTTCGCGCGATTAAAAAAAAAAAAAAGAAGAAGAAGAAGAAGAAGAAGAAAGAGAAACGTCTCGAGGCGTACAATCTATTTATTTTTCTTTTTTTCTTTTTTTGCCACTACCATTTCCCTGATATAAAGGTTCGAGCAGCGTAAAAATTTAATAATCGAAGGAATTCTAATTGCGCATAGTTGATCATAATTGAACGGTCTTAACCGGCTTTAGTCGACGGGGGGATAATTTAATTCTCTTTTCACGAACGTTAAACCGGCTCTCCTTCCTTTAAAACGGTGCCTCGTTTCAATTGCTCCCATTTTTACGTTTTCTCCCTCTTCTCTCTCTCTCTCTCTCTCTCTCTCTCTCCCCCTTTCTTTAACCAACCCTCCTCTGTAGCCTGTAGCCTGTAACTCGGTCGGTGAAACGACCCTTAAGGTGAACGAAATCGAACACTTAAAATCGTTGCATGGGTGATTACCCATTCAGTACTTTCGTTAGAACGATAAACGTTCCTCCCGTTGCTACGAGAATCTCTTTCCTCTCCTCCCTTCCCTCCCCCCCTCGAAGCCGATAAACCGGTCGGAAATCGTGCTTTCATACCTCGATTCTCGAAAATGGGGTCACATTACCAACTATCGTGATATTTCCATGCTCGGGGCAAGCGTTCGTTCAACCATTTCTCATCTTTCCTTCGTCCCTTTTTCTTTCGTCCCTTCGCGTGGTTCAAGCGTAATTAATCGATCAAGCGTATTCGTTTCTTCCTCTCGAAGGGAGAGGAAGAGGAGGAGGGATTCGTGATGAATGAATTTTGGTTTGGTTTTTTTTTTTTTTTTTTTTTTTTAACACCGGTTATCGGTATCCGTTTGCAGAGTATTTGTGCCACGGAACATGGATCGAGAACGACACAGCGTATCTGGTGGCGAGCACCGACGTGGGACGATATTGTCTCGTTTACAGTGCATCCGCAGCGGCGACAGGGAGCCGCGAGCTCTCCGTGACGGGTCACCTTGCCTCCTGTCCCAGAGCACCTCATCGTCATCTTGTGTCGTGGCAGGTCAACCTCACGTCGTACGGTGGGTATTATCAGCAATTATATGTACAAGTAATTGTCGCGTTGTTTTGTCTTAATTATAATAAATAATAATAATAATAATAATAATAAAGTTCGACAAATTTGAGAAAAAAATTTGAAAGTTGAATTGTTGATCGAGGGATTGGAAAATTGAAAAATTTGGAGGTGAATTTTGGATGATTGGAGAGTAAAATTTAAGATTCAGAATTTGGAACTTGAGAAATTTTGAGGATTAGGAAATTGTATATTTATAGTAGAAACGAAATAATTAAAAAAATAAAACAATTTGTAACTTTGATGACTAGAAAATTGTATGATTAGAATAATTTAGAGTTTGAAACTTAATTAAAATTAAGATTTTGAAGATTTTGAGATTAGGAAAGTGTATATATGATTAATTGTAGAACAAAATAATCTTGGAAACTTTGAGATTGCACAACAAAATAATTGAAAATTCAAAATTTGTAACTTAAGAAAGAATCTTTGAGGACTAAAAAATTATATGCGTGATTAAAGTAATTAAAAATTTAGAATTTGGAATTTAGAAAAGAATCTTGGAAATTTTGATGACTAGAAAATTGTATGTATAATTAAAATAATTTAGAATTTGAAAAGTAAAAAATCAGGATTCTGGAAACTGTATACACGATTAATTGCAGAATAAAATAATCAGAAAAATCTTGGATACTTTGATCGTGCAACAAAATAATTGAAAATTCAAAATTTGTAATTTGAGAAAGAATCTTTGAATGATTAGAAAATTGCATGCATGATTAAAATCATTAAAAATTTAGAATTTGAAACTTATTTAAAATTTAATAATAATAATAATAATAATAATAATAATAATAATAATAATAATAATAATAAAATTTTGAATATTAGGAAATTGAATGTATGTTTATTCGCAGAAATAAAATAAATAAAAATTCAAAATTGATAACTTAGAAAAGGATCTTGAAAACTTTGATGATTAGAAAATTGTATGCATGATTAGAATAATTAAAAATTTAAAATTTGAAACTTAGAAAAGAATCTCGAAAACTTTGATGATTAGAAAATTGTATGCATAATTAGAATAATTGAAAATTTAGAATTTGAAACTTAAAAAATCAGGATTCTGGAAATTATACATGATTAATTACAGAACAAAATAATCAGAAAAGTCTTGGATACTTTGATCGCGCAACAAAATAATTGAAAATTCAAAATTTGTAACTTGAGAAAGAATCTTTGAAAGATTAGAAAATTGTATGATTAAAATAATTGAAAATTTAGAATTTGAAACTTAAAAAAGGATTCTGGAAATTATACATGATTAATTACAGAACAAAATAATCAGAAAACTCTTGGATACTTTGATTGTGCAACAAAATAATTGAAAATTCAAAATTTGTAATTTGAAAAAGAATCTTTGAAAGATTATAAAATTGTATGATTAAAATAATTGAAAATTTAGAATTTGAAACTTAAAAAAGGATTCTGGAAATTATACATGATTAATTACAGAACAAAATAATCAGAAAAGTTTTGGATACTTTGATCGTGCAAAAAATAATTGAAAATTCAAAATTTGTAACTTGAGAAAGAATTTTTAAAAGATTAGAAAATTATAATAGCCTAATTAAAATAATTAAAAACTTACAATTTGAAACTTAGAAAATCAGGATAAAATTAAAAACACAGAAGATCCTGCCAATCGTAATTAGGACAGGGAGTAATAAAGCATTACGGGTCATCACGGTTCATCTCGTCCAAGGATCTGGTATTGTGGCAGCTCCATCTCGCGTCATTGTTAGCGACGTGTCTCGTTTGCGATATTGATCAGATTGTCCAAATCGGTCGTCCGCATCAACGCTTAATTAATCAGCTGATTCCCTTTATCTTTCATTGAATTGTCACGAATTCTGAGAGGCACGAATCGACAGAGTGATCCTAGAGGAATTGAGGATTTCTATGGAAGTTTGAAAGAACGACGACACGAGGGGATGGAAAATTTCTCTTACACTTGAATAGAACTTTTTTTTAACTCGTAGATAGATTTAGAACGGAGTATGATATACCTTTCTTTCTAAACCGATTAGTTCAATCGAAAAATTGAAATTCGGGTCGAAAAAAAGAGGCAGATGTTTTAATCGTTCAAACGAAATCGAATTTTCAAATTGGAAAAATTCGGATATCGAAGCATTATTATAATAAATTAGAAGATAATATATAAAAATATTATATAATTTATATATATAAATAATACATAAATTAGAAGAATCCGGATGAAAATTTATTAGATGATCGAAACTGTTGTTGACAACTGTTTGGAAAATGAGATTTCGTTAAAAAAGAATTATTATAACCAAAAAATAATTTGAAATTCATCCTTCCAGCTCAATGCGGCGATATCTCGACGGCCACGTCGTGGACCTTCCGGATTTCCGCCTCCGTTTACATCCTGGCTGTATTGGGCACCCTGTTCGGCAGGTATATCGCGAGGTGATATCACTGAGTGAAGAGACCAGGCCACGAGACGGCCGTGTAGTCAATCTACACAAACTCGAGTCGTCAGCACAGCAACTATAATAAAACAACAACAACAAAAGAAGTCTCTATATATATATAAATATAAATATAAATATAAATATATAAATACAAAATAAAAAAAAATATATATATATATATAAATACACAAAGTATATATATATATTAAGAAACGATTTAACGAAGGATCCCAGAAGTGTGATGGGAGAAAGTAACCTAATAATCAAGCATAAATTAACGTGTAAGTGTTCGTGGGTGCGAGAGAGTCTGTAAAGAGAGAACGAGAGAGAGAGAGAGAGAGAGAGAGAGAGAGAATGAAATAGAAGAGAATGCCGTTGAGAGGCTTCATCCGAATAAAGAATATCAGAACATGGCGGATCATTGGCTAAAAGGATGTACATAGAGACGGTGTACATGTACATAAAATTCACTTAAGGAAGCTTGGTTTTATCGAAGCAGTTGCATCTGGAAATGTTATCTTCTGCCAAAGGGGTGAGGAAAAAGCGAGCCACGTTATTCAGACGAGTATGCGTACTTTTCCTAGTTGACTTGGGATAACGAGATCTTGGATTTTTGCAAATTTCTTTCATCTTTATTTATTTATTCTTTTTCTTTTTTTTTTTTTTGTTTCTTCGTTTCGATTAGATCTTCTCGGACATTCGATCGATAGTTGGACGAATTATTTATATTTATTTATATCCTCTAGAAATGGTTAAACGAGTGATACAACAAGTTACGTGGACGATACGTGGATCTCTTTAATCGCGGATTTTTCTATCTAAATTTCCTAAATTTCCCGAACAACCACCCCTATTCGCTCGCAATTAACCTTCACTAATTAGAAAACCTTCCTGGACTCGCAACCGGTGTCGCGCGTAAAATCGGGAAAACCAATTTAAGCAAAAAGAAGGAAAGTAAAAAAAAGAGAAAGATAGAAAAAAAAATACAACAAAGAAAAACGTGCAACAATGGAAAAAGGAAAAACTAATCAAATCAAAAAAAAAAAAAAAAAAGAAAAAACGAAACTAAGGGTGCTGGGGCCAATAGTGTGTGCATTTTGAGTGGTGATCGTAGCCCACGTGTGTGAATGGAAGAAGCAGACAAAGAACGAAAAAAATAAATAAAAAAAAAAAGGAGGGGAAACGCGAAACAAGCGAAGAAAGGAACACGACCGAGGACAGAGGAAATCGAGCGAGCGAGAGCGAGAGAGAAAGGGAGAGAAAGGAGCGAACGAGAGAGAAAGAGAGAGAGAGAGAGAGAGAGACTTATAACAACTTATTTAGATCCACGACGTGTCCGCGATGTTTTGGAAACGGTGCGTATCGTTCTCCAGCTCCGAACAAAACTTGTGTTTTGCTCGGAACAGGAAACGTTTCCAACTGTAATTATACGTATTTTAATTAAAATTGCGCGCCACTAGAGTGAAAAGAAGGAAAGAAAAAGAGAGAGAGAGAAAAGAGTGGTGAAATTTTTTCGCGCGCGTGTGTGAATGTATACGTGTACGCAGAAAGTTAAAGGTAAATGAAAAAAGGAAGGAAAGTTAAAGGTGAAAAAAGGAAGGAAGGAAGGAAGAGGAAGCGAGATAGAGAGAGAGGACGAATACGGAATGAATTATGATTATCGTTGTTATTATATTGTCATTATAATTGTCATTGCACGAGTGAGAGCATGTGTGTGTGTGTGTGTGTGTGTGTGCCTCTCTCTCTTCTTCTGTGTCTTCTTCAGCTTGTTTTTCTTTCCGTTCTTTCCATCCCTTTTGCTCGCGACCCCACCCCCATATGTCATCCATATGTGACTGTATAGATCGTAAGGAATGGCCACTGTGACACCTGCGTTTTTCGACGAAAAACAGGTGGAAAGATGAATTTCCTTGAGATTTGATATTGGTGATCTCCTTGTCACCCTTGGTCGACACCCTTAGAGTAAAAGTTTTTTTGATGATGAACAAAAACCTTGATAAATGATTAAAGATAGTTCGATTTCGATTTCAAAGGGAAGCTTGTGTTACAGAAGATGAAATTGAATTTATTAAGATGAAATTAATGGTGATCGAGAAAATTTTATATTGGCGTAAAAGCGAACAGCAATTCAATAATTGAATAATTAAATTATTATAATTTGATAATCAAATTTATTTATATATTTTGGATATTAAATTTACGGTTCGATCAACGAAAATCAATGTAAATTTGAAATGAAAAGAAGAATTGTAATGTTGGTTTGTTTTTTTTTTCTTTTGATCGAGGAAAAATGAAAATGATTTAAAGGGTTGACTTTAAGAAGGGTGATAGGAATCGAAGATGTAAGAATATCGTAGAATGATCGCTCGATTCTTTATTTGCTCTGAAATAAATGTTTTCTTGTCATAATTTTGATGGAAAAACCAAAGACGTAGAAACTTTTTCTTCAAAATTCAAAATGAACAAAATAAAAAGCTTGAAAAATTGATGTAAAAATCGTATTAAAATAAAGAAGAATAACTGTAAAAAAATTAAAAATTAAAAAGTTACATCTGTAATTAATTTCCTATTTAACTCATCTTTAATAATTCACATCTAAAAAAGAAAAAAATATATAAATTAATCTCCATTCAAAAGATTAAGACAGTCCATGAATCCCAGAGCAACAAAGGAATCGAATCGATCGTGGACAATGGATTACAGAGAGAAAACCACGACATATCGATAAATTGAGAGAATTCGAGCAAGAAATTCAGAGAAGCTGCTAGGTAGCGCTAGGTAATCAATTATCTCGCCAACATCCAGAGGAATAGTAGACGAAACAAGGAAAAATTGAAACAAGGAAAAGAAACCAACTACAAAACACGCCATTTACCAGGAAACATTGAAAACAAAGAAAAAAAAAAAAAAAAAAAAAAAAAAAAAAAANNNNAAAAAAAAAAAAAAAAAAAAAAAAAAGAAAGAAAGAAAAAAAAAAGAATTCAAAATCTCGAGAGAGTACAGATATTTTTCACTTGAAACTATTTTAATTAAGAGACTGTGCTGATTACTGTGCGAACAAAGAGAGAAGTGACAGTAAAATAATAATCGCGTAAAATTACTCGATTCGCTATACATAATTGAATAGTTGGATATACATACTATAAATACGAGTATAAATATGAAATATAAATATTATAAATATTATACATACGTTACGTATATATATATATATATATATATATATAAATACACGAGGACAATTCGATGTTGGCTATAAACTTGTAAACTATTAGATAGATAAAAAGAAAGAAAGAATAAAAGAGATTAAGTGTCTGATAAGGAGATGATGGAATGATTCGTCGATGTCCTAAGCGAACAGATTTTTATACTAGTCGAGACATTTCGACGATTTTCGTGTCATTGTTTAACTTTGCCATTTGTAAATTGTATTGTATAATTGATTAGTGTGATAAATATAAAGATTGTAGAGATTCTTTTATAAACGAAATATTAAACTTAGACTTGTTAAGTTTTGCCATAATTTTCTACTAGTTTAATTGGAACTTATTGTAATTTTATTTATTAATTTGGAATTGACAATTATATTCAAATTAAATATGATACTTTTGCATGATATTTCAAATTAATTTTTAAGTTCGATTCTGTATATAATTTATTAATTTGATACGTATCTAATTTATTAATTCGATTCTTTTAATTTAATTCGAATTCTTAGTCTTTTAGGATTATACAATAATAATTTCTCAACACAGACCATTATTCACATTTGTAATTCGTATTTGGAATAAATTACATTTAATTTAATCAACTCTCGTGAAATTTACTTTAGTCAATTCCAAAAAATTAGCAAACGATAAAAAGTATATAATATTTTTTTTCGAAAAAATATAAATAATTTTTTTTCGAAATTTTTTATATTGTGATATTCAAATATAGTGACACAAAAGCGTCGAATTGTTATAAAAAAATATCATCGATCAGATTCATTCCTCGGTTTATGTCAAACATATGAGAATCGAAAATCAAGAAACCGAGAGATTAAAACATAAAAAAATCCTCAACGTGTGTCGAAAAGGAGAAAAAAAATACGACACACGTTCCGCCATTTTTATTCTCCCAGTCGCAAGAAAAAAGCGAGACACGGTTCCGATCCTTTATTTCTTCATGAGAAAAAGGGGGGGAGGGGGGAGGAAGAACTACGAAGAGAACGAGTTTTTTCTGTAAATAATAGCTTTAACGCGATTTTTCACATAAGAGAACAAAACAAACAAAAAAAAAAAAAAAAAAAAACAAGAGATTGAAATTGAAGAAATTACGAAGGAGAAGGAAAAGAGGTAGACGATGAGTGAAGAGAAAGAGAAATCTCTTTTTTTTTATAAAAAATAAGAAACAAAGAAAGGGATGAGAAAGGGAAGAAATGAAAAAGGAACAATTAGAAAGATTCGTGGAGAATGTGGTTTTATATAGAATGCGAGAGTGTAGATTTCAGGGTATTTATATCGAGGGTTAAATAGTTAAATATACGAGAAAAAAATATTTAAATATAAATTATATTATAAATATAAATATATACATATATATATATAAATATTTGAGAGAATATAAATATGTGTAATTATATATTTATATCCTATCAATATATATATATATATTTATATATATATATACACTATGTTTTTATTGTTGTGAAGTTACTGAAAAATGGTCGACGAGCGCGAATTCGTTGGCTCTCTCATGTTTCATCGAAAAATGATTTTCTCTCGATTGTCATCTTTTTATTTTCTATCGAATTTAATTGTTTAGCTTGATTCTTCATCGAACGAATCACTGGTACGAAAAATAACGAAATGGATTTTTTTCATAATCTCCATCCTCTTCTTTTTAAACGAGAAAATTCTTTTTTACCATCAGACGATAATGCCATATAAATATCGGTAACGATTTGAATTTTTAAATTTTTCTTTCAAAATTTTTGAATTCCAAACATAGATAGAACAAATCCATTTACATAAATAGCTATCTTAAGCTATTTTAAATAGCTATCTAAAAGGATTCTTTCTCAATATCAGCAAACACAGATCTTATAGCTCTTCAAAGTTCCTCGGAAATCAGTGAGTATTTGATCTCTTCGAGTGGCGCTAGAAACGGTTTCATTTCACGTTCAAAACTCTTGAGAGGAGAACAAATCTCTGATCCGTGTTCTAATCGACAGTTTCCAGCGCTGCAATGATTTTCCACCGTTCGTAAACTTTAGTTTGAAATTTTTTCGTTTTCGGTATTCTTGAAAAAAATTCCATTTCTTATTACGATAATTCAATATCTTTAATTCGTGACAACTATTTAAATAATAATATTTTCTAAAAATTATGTATATAATGGATGAAATTACAATGATCCTTGGACGACAGAGAGAGGAACGTTCGATGAAATAATGATTCTGTTCCGAGACGAATGCAACAGAAATGTATCCGCGTTCCTTCGATGATGTAAAGTGATGTTTATATCGTAAATGAGGATTCGAAAGACAGGTATTTGCGGAGGTGCGTAATGGGGGAGAAAAAAAAAAAAGATGGTTTCGAAAACGATTTGGACTATTTTTAAGGTGATAGGATCAAAGATTGAACGATTAGTAAAGAATCTAATATTTAAACTAAGTATACAATATATAACTATATTCCTAATTTTAGAAATTTAAAACGTTTCTCTATGATCAGAAATGATCATATTTGAAAGAAGATAAAAATAATTTCGATTGCACAAGTCACGATACACCATGTGATTCAAATAAAATTCGTATTTCATCATCAAATTTTTCATAAAGAGAGAGCATTATAAATATTTTGCGAAAATGAAATTTCATTAAAAAAAAAAAAAAAAAAAAAAAAATTGAAAGAAATATAGTAGCCATTTTCAGAAGATTAAAAAATTTAAAATTATAATATTTATTTTTTTTTTTTTTTTTTTAGATTTCAAAGATCTTCACCTATCACCAATTCATAAATTTATTTCGAAAAAAAAAAAAAACAAAATGCACTGAAAATAATTCGTTCCCTAACCTCGTCGCGCGCACACTGCCTGTAGAACGAAACACAACGACTACTACCCGTCTCTAGTCTTAGTAATTTACATGGTAATTTCGATTTTGTAAATTGAAGAATCGAGGAATGAGCTTTTGAAACCCTCGATCGAGAAAATTCGAATTTGCTATTTATAGTTTTAGATTATATTATACTTGACTAATAACTATACTAATTTTCCACAATGGCTATGCAAATTATTATCACTCATTCATTATAATGATATTAATTTCAAACTATAATAAATTTGAACTACTGTAACAGAATAGTAAAAGTTGAGAAATTTTTAAAAGAAATTTTTAAAAGAATTTTTAAAAAATTAATCAAACCGATCAATTATCTATTCATCGTCGATTTCTTCTTTTAATTTCTTGAGAAATAATAATAACAAATTTCGCAAAAAAAAAAAAAAAAAAAGAATCTTACAAATGGAGGGAAAATCGACGAAGAAAGAAAGAAATTGAAAAGGATGAAAATTCATTTCGAATTTTGAAGAATAAATTTTGAGATCTCGATCGAGGGTTAAGGCTGCAACCAACTATCTTGATATACCCGTACTAATCACGCTAGAATAAGGATAGCCGCGTGTAAAAGACGCCTGATACATTTTTTTACCGAAAGAAAAAAAAGAAAAAAAATAAAAAAAAAAAAATAGAAGAGGAGATATCAGCGTTATCTCGAACCATGATAGAGTTAAGAGTGGAAGGGGAGTGGAAGTTACCCTAGAGTGGAACTTTAAAAAAAAAAAAAGAAATGAGATTAATACGCGTTTCAATGCGCTCCGTAATTCTCAATAGAGAAAAGAGAATTTTATCATATTTCAAATTTCGAGTTTTCGAAACGTCAAGCTTTGTACCGTGAAAACCACGATTCTTTGCGTGATCAATAATAACGTTTCGATGTTGGATTGAAGAAAGGAAGAAGAGAAAATATATACAGACATACACACACACACACGCACACACACACACACACGAACTATTACCATGATACTTATTAATGTAAATGGTTTTTCATTACTATATTATAGATGTTACTTAATAATATATTTACAAATAATTAAACGGGAGTTTGTGGTGGTTTTATTCATAAACCTTGACTGTCCTAATTTAAGAATCACATTTGGATGATTTTTTTCACAAATTTTTGCATCCTTCGAAATTTTTTTATCTAATTTATTATCTATTTTTTTTTTCTTCTAATTTTATCATTTGTTTTTATACTTTGTGGGATAATTTGAAAATTATTAGAGTAGAATATATACAAAAACATTTTGAAACCGTAATGAAATCTTTTTCCAAGTGTGTTTCATCATTAAAAATTGAATTTATTAAAAATATTAATTTATAACTCGTTCAAGTTACAGGTTATTGAAAAAATTTTTCCCAAAAAATTCTTTTTCTATAAATTACAAAAAAAAAAAAAATCTATGGAGATATGTAAATGATGAAAAAAAGGTGAACAACAAAGTTCCGACAATAAATATGTTTTATTACACATATATCTCGTACGAGGGTTACACGATATTAATACATGTTCATTTAACTGTCCAGCAATCAAACACGTTGTATTCATTTTTCATTTCATCTTTTTTTTTTCTTTTTTTTTCTTTTTTTTTTTTTTTCTTTTTTCTCTTTAATTCCTCTGTCACCTCTCGCAATCATGAGCGTCTTATCATCGTGACCATGTCGCTTGATACACGTCATCGTCATCACCATTGTCATTTCGATCGTAATTCTTAAATATACAATAAAATTGCACACATAGTCACCTCATGAAAATCATCATCTCGACAAGTTACAACTTGTGATACACGTTAAAACATTATTAATTAGTCACGAGAGGAAGCTTGCGATATATTATAGATTCAGTTCAACTGAAATCAAGGGAGGAGGGTAAAAGAAAAAAAAAAGAAAACAAAATCGTAGATAGTATCGTAGTAAAGAAAATCTTGGAATTAAATCTATATAACGATATCAGGGCACAAGACAAACGGATAAAAAGGAGAAAAGAAAATCATACGTATTTTTTTACCTTTTTTTTCTTTCTTTCTTTTTTTTTTTTTTTTTTTTTTCTTTTTCTTTTTACTTTTTCCCGTCGTTCGATCGGTCGTTCTAGCTCGAACTTCTTGAATCTTCGCGTTCAAATTTGTATTTTCGAGCGGAATTCTTGAAGGGATCCCAAAATGGAACAGCGTCATGTCAGTTCGTTTTTCAATTCATATCGTCTTTTTCGCGGTTAAACGTTTAATTATCATTAATTATCTGGTCGCTTACGCCCTAAAGAAGATTCGCTTGTTTTTTTTTTTTTATTCTTACGTATTTCTTTTTTTTTTAAAACTTTTTCTTACTTTTTTTTTTCCTTTTTTTTTTTTTTTTTTTTTCATTTACAGGTTAATTTCTCAGCTTAATATCTAGTCGTGTACTCGTAGCCTTACGTAAATTATTCTTAATGATCTAAGCTTGGTGGCCAGCACCAAAAAACACTCACTAGATTCACTGCCTACGGACACAGATACGGGTTTCGCCTCTTTCTCGAGCAACTCGCGCGCGTCGGCCATTTTGTTTCGCTTAGAGGGAACCATTTTCTTATCGTCGTCGAGTCGAATATCGCTCCTGTTCTACGAGAGTCTCATTGATATCTCTCTCTCTCTCTTTCTCTTTCTTTCTCTCTTTTTTCTTCTTATTCATTATTAGTTAATTGTATAAAAAAGGAAAATAAAAAGCATCGTAGAAAAACGCAAGATCCGATGGGAATTTACAAAGAATATATTAGGGTGATAATTTCGATGAATGTGCTTCGAGAAAGAGTGCGACGAAGAATCGACGCTCGATTATCGAGACGACGTGACTTTTCCGACTAATGCTCGAGCGCCGATCCTTTAAATTTGAGCGATTCACAGACATCCAAGCGAGAGAGTACTTCGTTACTTCATTGTCTCGATTTTTTTTTTTTTTAATATTTTCTCAGTATTTTTTCATTTTTGTTTTCTTTTTTTGGTTCATAGTAGTCTCGTTTCTTTAACACATCGAACTGCAAGAAACCTAGCTAATTAATTCTCCACCTCATTTAGTTCCCTAAAATAATCTACCATCGCTAGAAGCCAGAACGCGCGATGATTTCTCGCTGTTTGTTCGCATCGTGTGTTTTTTCGATTATGATATATATATATGTATATATATATATATATATGTATATGTATATATATATATATATCATCTTTTTCAAATTCTTTGTTTATTCAGGATGAAGAAGAAAAAAATTCAAAGTTCGATCTTTCTGTTCGTTACCCGAACGGCGTAGTGACTAACATTACTCTTTGGTTAAAAACGATCGCGTATATACGTGTGTAATGCATGTGTTTGTGTCTATTTGTGTGTATATGTGTATACGTGTGTGTGTGGTATGAATGAAACGAAAACAAAGCTTCAGAATCTACCGTAATTTGAATATAAACTCAAAGGAAAGGCCAGCCTTCTAATATTAAAATTAACCATTCATCCGCCCAGTGGCGTCATCTATCACGTTCATCAATATTTACAAACGCGATTCCTTCCAATTTTTCATCCCCTTTTGTCATAACATCCTCTACTAAGCTCTCTAGTCGGCGAGCGATGATTACGAAAGTCTTACGATTAGGGATAGGCTTAGTTCTAGACGAGTTATTAGGTAATTGTCAAGATGCAATCATCGGAGAACCAAGGATGAACGTAGAAAGCGCTGACGACTACTGTTTACTCTAGCTGTCTTCTTCTGATCGGCATCTAACCCCTGACCCTCCTCATCGATCACTCTTATCATCCTTCTTCCACTTGTCCCAACTTCGTGTCCTCTTTCTTCTTCTTCTTCTTCTTTCTCTGCGCACAGCATTTCTGGAGACGAAGAAACGACCATCCAACTCGAACAAATTCTTTTTTTTTTTTTTTCGACACATTTTCTTCGACGAAAGAAATTCGGCCCAATCATTGATCGACCGAGGGTCAGCTGGCTGCGCAAAAGATCCTCCGAATCGTTGAAGTATTACGGCCTGGGGCCGTTTGTACCGTGTAATTGATATGTCAATATAGGATCCTATCACTGAGGCGAGATGAGACTTTCTTGCGTTTCATTCTTTCTCCTTTTTTTTCCCCCTCGAGTCGCATCATTTCCACATTTTCTCATTCTATATTATATAGTAATCAAGGAAGACCGTGCAAAGACGATTATCTTTACACGTCCGCCTGGGTAATTATACAGGTACTTGGTGAAGAGATTCGTGCCCTCCGTTCGAGCCAGGTACGCGCCAATCTGGGGGGAGGGAAGGGACGCGATCGAACGACAACAAGTGGGTGGGGAGAGAAGCGACAATGGTAACAACGACGATGCTACATTCTCTGTCCGTCGAGGATGGTCCATCGTAGATGACGCTATCGTAGACGCCTCGAACCAGCCGAGACGCATCGATCGCAATGATCGCCGCTCGTTGCTGAGGCCCGCGTCAGCTTTGGAGCGAACGATCGCGTCAATGGGCAGCATCATCCTTCTTCTTCTTCTTCTTCTTCTTCTGGACACTTATCCTCCGAGCTGATTTCCCGCTTGTTGATGACGCGTGAGAAAAGACTTTTTCCATTTTTGTTCCAGAGGTAGTCTGAACTAGCGGCGACTAGACGTTCCATTCATTCGGTTACGTTTCTCTTTCTTTCGTTCGACTTTTCCCCTTTCTCTCTCTTTTTCCGTCCTTCTGTTCCGAGACGAGACACCTTCCACCGTTCCGGGGAGTGGAGAGCTTGGCCAAAAGGTCAATAGGTCGACACAAAGAGACCTGGCCAGCGGCAGCGAGTTAACTGTCACTGACGCACACGCCACCAGGTCTGCTGCACCTTCTCGTGGAGCTTTCTGCAAATACCCGCGAGCCTCCGTCACATCCCAGCCTCTGCTGCGTTCTCATCCGTCTCACCGCCCCCTTCCTCGCTCGCCAGGATCGTTTTCGCAGCTCCAACCGTATCCCCGATTTCCGTTGTTTCACCTGTCTCGTCGCCTTCCTCCAGTGTCACCTGGAGCAACAATTGATTTAGAGGTTAGATTCACTATGGGTGAATTCGATAAGCGAAGGTACAAATTAATTCTTACCTGGAAGTGTATCCTATCGGATTGCTGCTCGTTCCCTTGCTGCTGTTGCTGTTGATCATCAGAAGGCGGCGACGGAGGGATCATAGATTGATACCAGTCTCGATTCTCCTCTAACGTATCCAGGATATCCTGAGCATCCGGGTGTACAAGGTCGGCCCAGGTTTCCCAGAGAGGGTGCACGATATAATCTATGAAGCCGACCTGCGACTTCTCGATAGTGGCACTGTGCCTGTCACACATCGGGCTTATATCCATGTTCTGCTCGCGTTCCCGATCCCCTTGAAGGAAGAATTCCTCCATCAACAGACCCACCCATCGCCGATAGAGAGGCAAAGGTTTGGTAGGATTGGACAGGTCGGCACAGTGGACCAGGTTCTCCAGGACCTGGATTCGGTCCGTGTAGTTGTCCAACAGAAGCACGCCAGAACCAGCCACCTTCTTCGTTTCCACCATAGTCTTCAGATCGGCCAACAGAGACATGTGCTTGGACATATCTGTAGATAGGACCATGTCGATTACCATCTTCCTAAGCGTCTGGCGTTGCTTCTTCGTCATGTTGACGAAAATGTCGCAGCCTTCGTTCTGAAGTAACTTGAACGCCACTGCCAGGTGGTGGTTCTCCAGAACGGACTCGTCATTGTACATTAGGGCGAGCTCGGAGCCTAACACAGGATTTTTTGATTCTTATTCTATATTCAATCAAATCTCTCAATACCCAATTATAGTGATTACAAATAATTATTATTGAATCGTCTAGGTGATGAAATACTCACTCGAATTTATAAGGAACTGGTTGGTGAGTCCAGGATGGTCCACGTCGTGAATGGTGGCTGCAAACAGAGCGGCTGTGATTTCCAACGGCGTGAACACGGACTGCAATCATGCGGAAACGTTTCGATTAATCCATCAGTCGACATTGATCCACAACATCGATCCAAGTTCAGAAGTTTAATTAATTTGAATTTAATTAATATGAATCCTGAAGGCAAGGCATTTAACGGATCAAGTAAATAATAACACACTCTTTCAGCGTTGAAACAACGATCTATCGATCTAACGATCTGATTAGAATTTTTTTTTCTTTTTTTTTGTTTTACCGATAGAAGAGAGTTAAAATTGTTATTTATGGATACTTTATCAACGATAAATGATAATATTAACCTCGAGTGCGGGTGTGTTGAGCAGAGTGTGAGTAGATTGGGTCACATCGGCGGCATGCAGGCTATTGTGGAAGGGATTGTCTTTGACGTAGTGATCCTCGAGGGTCATCATGAAGGTCACAAAGGTCTTGGGTGGTATGGCCAGCGATTTGAGCAAATCCCGGGTCTGGAAGGCTGTGTAGGCGACGCAGGTCAGCGGTCTGTTGTTGCTTAATTCGCCTATCCTGAAGATATCGATGCCCCATTTGTCGATGTCTGAGAGAAGCTATAAATATCACAAATTAAGGTGAGTTCATGAATGATTCATTTTTTTTTTATCGTCATAGAACAGAGGGTAAAAAAAGATTTGTATAAAATGAGATTTCTAATAATAATAATCTAATCTTTTTTTTCTTTTTTAATCTTTTAATCCTTAATCTCTGATTTATCAAAAATATTTATGTGTGATTTATTATCACACGCACACACACACACGCGCGCGCGAGAATATTTTGATTTGTTTATGATATTGAAAACAAATTATCTTCTAGAGAAATGTAAATTGTCTGTTTATTTTCTGGCTCGAACAGATTGATCTTTCAGACATTTTTTTCGAAGACTGAATCCACTGAAATTGATTCTGGGAAAAAAATCAATTAGCACCGACTCGATTAGAAGGTTGTTAATTGGTTAAAAAAAGACTCGAGAAAATTGTTAAATGAAGCAATTAATATCATTTAACGTAATCCCAATTTTCAAATTATATCACTATGATAATAAAAACGTATAATTGTAATAATAATGATAATGATAATAACTAACTTTGTAATACATCAGCGGTGGGCGTGAAAATAAATTTTCTTCCGCTTAAAATATTCCGAATTTCAAATTGTTTGTTAGAATTTCAAGTAAAATTATCAAGAAATTTATCAAGATCTTGATAGAATCAAGCAATCAGGATTAATTTAAACATTCGACCCCCATTTAGCTAAAACAAACAAACAAACGATTGGCCACTGTCGCGGGCTAAATAAGGAGTTGGCATCGCGTTTAGCGATTCCGAGCCGGTACGCGTGGGCTCGGGGACGATTCTAAGACCTCGAGAGAGAGGCCTGCTTAACCTGCTGGCTGCATCTGACCAGGAAGCGCCTTTATTAGCATACAAAAGCGGTAGACGTTGATTATGTGAAAGTTATATATATATATATATATATTCTCTATACGAGGAAAGAGGGAATCGATTATGCATGATGACACACGAAATTCCATTGTCAAGCGTGAAAATAAATTTTCGATTGAAATTCTTTTTTTATTTTATTTTGACGCGATGGAACAGGAAATGCTCGATGCTCGATCGATCGAATAATGATAAATCGAATAAGTCGAATCGGGATATTCCACGGATAAGAGAATGAAACGTTAAACGCAGAGGTGGAAATTATCATGATAGAGTTAATTATTTAAATTTGATTTTTGAACGAAACTCTTCGCGAACGATTTTTTTTTTTTTATCGTTTGAAGATTAAAAATAGAAGGTGTTTGAAATTGTTGCAATACAATGATATTATTGATATATAATCGGAATTAGAAATTTAGCTTAAAGAATACAGAAAAGTGAATTCTGAATCGATTCGAAAAAACAAGCTAGGGTTTGTTGGGTAAATAAATCCGAGAGTATTCGATTCGGCATTCGGGTTTACTCGGAATCGAACTCTTAAAACGCGAAACAAGACGCAGATCAGGCAGACCCCCGCTCAAAGATTCTGGAAAAATTAAAATTGGAGGTTATGCCGAGAATTTTGTCGAAAATTTTAAACAAAACAAATTTTTTTTTACGTCATACGGTAAAATCAAAATATACGAAATATAAAGTTAAATAGAATATTTTTAAAAACGTACCTCACAAGATGCACAGAAAAGAAAATTCCAGGAGAACAGAAAATTTTTCTTTATTTATAAAAATTGCACGCAACTTCGATTCCATTCTCATTTTCTTTGCTATGATATATTACAAAATTGAGGTGCAAAAAATAATTATGGCAATGATAAGAAATTCTAGAAACTGGGTTATCGTTGGCTACTACACCGACCTCGTCCCAAATTTTTCGTCAACGTGTGAGTGCCACGATCGTAAACAGAAGCGGTATCGACCTTTCGAACGATCGACGTCTATTATCAGTTTTACGGTGGATCACGTACGATTTAACGATGGCGGCGCAAATAGACTTTTCGATGGAAACAGAGGAATGGGGGTACACGATTTTACGACTCGCCGCAAATTTTTATCTCTTTTCCGCAGTCGAGAATTCACTGCAGCAGAGAAATAACCACTAGATAAGAATAAAATTAAATATATAAAACATTAAATATATTATAAATTATATAATATAAATAATTATAAAATATATATAAAATATAAAATATAAATAATATAAAAAATTATATAATATAAATTATTATAATAAACATTAAATTTTAAATATTAAATATATTATAATTATAACATTATAATATTATAAACATTAAATATATATTATAATTAAATATATAAAGAATTAAATATATGAAACAGAAGAATTCGAAATTGTTTATCACTTGATGAAACTCGATCACGTATCAATGTTTTACGATCTATTTCACCGATCTGACAATCAATGTTTGTCCTGATTTATAAACAAACGAAGATGATTGAAAAATTTCCACGATAATACAGTTCGAGAAACAGTGTGTTTGAATTAGTTGGATTTTTTTTCCCCTCTTCTTCAGTTCATCTTTTCTCCCCTCTGACCCTTTTGTTTGCCCTGTTAATTCATAAATAATGAATACAAATATTGAACAAACGAGGACATCGTTCGCCAGATAGGGAAATTTCCTAGATGAGATGATGCAATGTACATTGATGCAGAACTGTATCGCGCCGATGGATCGAGATAAGGATAAGAATTCGAGGAACGAAAGGGATCAAGGATGATTTCACCGCGGAATATTTTGTCCCCATCGCGTGGAATATCTCTCCGTTCCATCATCTCTCGTAATTTATTGTCATTATATCGCCGAAATTTAATATCATCAAATCGTTAACCAATTTATCGTAGGTGTTTTAACCAATTTATCGTATGTATATATGTACCTGCATCTGGGTTAACGAAACATCTCGAGGTTCCTCTACGAAAATGGAATCTTTGAAGTGATCCAGAAAAAGAAAATGTGTCACAGATATAAACAAAGAAGTATATACGATCTAATACATGCGTACAAAAATCGTATAAACTCGTCTTTGAACTATATCAGAGATCATACGTATTTTTTTTCTTTTTCTTTTCCTTCTTTTTGGCTAAAATCAACAGGGAAGCAGAGTTAATACTCTTTGATTCGTGGAGGAATGGAGACTGCAGAAGATCCTCGTGTAAATTTAATTTAATGGATTTAAAGGGATTTTTATAATCGTGATTCCTATATGTAATTTAATCAATCAAAGAAGCGAAAGTTAATTTTTAAAATTTATTTAAAATAGAGAGGCTATTAATTTCGTATATATAATCGTTTTCCATGGATCAATGTCTAATTCACGTTAGATAAATCACGTTAGATTTAAGTATAAGAGATAAGGCTGAAGAAGAAGATTGAAGTAATCCCTTATGCGATTTCCCACTCTATCAAACATTGAAACCGGTTGTGCAAGTGTTTTGAACACTTGCTGGGGAGACAACTGAATCCGTAATCGAGGCCTTCCGGATGAGTAGAAAGTGTAGAGTACCGTTAATTAATTTCGCTTTCGCGACATTCTGTTTCGCGTTCTGGGAACCGTGTTACGTAACATGCGAATGATTCATTTCACGAGAAGTTATTTAACGATTAACGACGATTGTCAATGATAATATCGAGCAAATCGTGATTCTTAGAATAATATCGTTGATTAAAATTAGAATAATTATAATTTATCTTCAAACTTAGATTTACCCAATTTTTCTTGATCACTAACTCTATGACACAATTACTTAAATTTATAAATACATAATTTTAATATGTATTTAAAATATTTAAAATATTTAAAATTATATTCAAAACGTGTGCGTGTGCGTGGAAATATATTAAAATATATTAAAATTACAAATTTCTACTATAGTATACTACAGTATATATAGTATACTATATACTATATACTATGATATTATAATAGATACTATATAGTGCTATAGATACAGTAGATACTATAGTATCTAATTTTTTCGTCAAATAAAAATTAATGAGAATTACTATTATATTATATACTATAATGTATTATAATAGATACTATATAGTGCTATAGATATAGTAGTTACTATAGTATCTAGTTTTTTCGTCAAATAAAAATTAATGATCAGAATTAATATTATACTATATACTATAATATATTATAGTAGATACTATATAAAAGTGCTATAGATATAGTAGATACTATAGTATCTAATTTTTTCGTCAAATAAAAATTAATGATCAGAATTAATATTATACTATATACTATAATATATTATAGTAGATACTATATAGTGCTATAGATATAGTAGTTACTATAGTATCTAGTTTTTTCGACAAATAAAAATTATTGATCAGAATTAATATTATACTATATACTATAATATATTATAGATATATATAGTAGATACTATATAGTGCTATAGATATAGTAGATACTATAGTATCTAGTTTTTTCGTCAAATAAAAATTAATGATCAGAATTAATATTATACTATACTATAATATATTATAGTAGATACTATATAGTGCTATAGATATATTAGTTACTATAGTATCTAGTTTTTTCGTCAAATAAAAATTAATGATCAGAATTAAAGCGAGACACGTTTCACTCGTCTTTTGTATTCAGGCCCATCGAACGATATCAAAGGAAGTAAAACTATTCCTACCTTGCCGAGCTCCTCCTCGTGGGGTGTCTCCACGCCGTGAAGCGGTACACGCTCCCCTGTGAAGCTGTTCGTGTGCGTGAGGGGTCGCTTCACACCGCTTATGTGGGACATCGCGGCCGGGCCTCTTTGGGCCCGGTCCTTCTTCTTTGCCACCCTCGCATCCGTACTTCCGGCTGCTGCAACCGCATCCTCGATCCGCAGGGAGGGTAGATCCAACTCTTGTTGCTTGTCTGTGAATAAAAGTAACGGATGATTTGTTGTTGAATACATTGGAAAGAAATATTTAGTATATTAATTGGTAGTAATTACAGTATTGTATATATATAATTTATAGTATTGTATAATAATATAGAGAATTAGAAAATTATTTTGTTAAATATAATGTGGAAAAATGTGATATAGAATAGTATATAAAGCATTATTAATAATTACAGTATTGCAGTAGTACAGTATAGTAGCAAAATGACAAGATAATTTATTTTTTGATTACTTTATAATATTGTATAATAATGTAGAATGGAGAATAGAAAATTATTTTATCAAACGTGTTAGGAAAAAATATAATGTAGTATAAAGTATAAAGCTATATAGTAATTATAGTATTTTAGTAGTATAATAGAATAGCAAAATGATGAATGACAAGATAATTTATTTTTTATTCCTTTATAATATTGTATAATAATGTAATGGAGAATTAGGAAATTATTTTATTAAATGTGTTAGAAAAAAATATTTAATAAAGTATAGAGCTGTTAGTTATTACAGTATTTTAATATAATATAGTATAGTAGAGTAGCAAAATGATGAATGATAAGATAATTTATTTTTTATTCCTTTATAGTATTCTATAATAATATAATGAAGAATTAGAAAATTATTTTATTAAATGTGTTAGAAAAAAATATTTAGTATAATGTAGTATAAAGTATAGAGCATTGTTAGTAATTACAATATTTTAGTATAATATAGTATAGTAGAGTAGCAAAATGATGAATGACAAGATAATTTATTTTTTATTCCTTTATAGTATTGTATAATAATATAGTGGAGAATTAGAAAATTATTTTAGCAAAATGATCAAAGATGGTTACATCAAGATGATTTGTTTCTTTTCTCTTTTCTTGATTACATTCAGTTACTTTCACAATTATGTAATGAGAAACAGAAATATTCAGCCTCTTGAAGGGATTATTCTTTTTTTTCTTTTTTTGAAAGTTGTTCTTGTTTAATTAATTTTCATTCAAGTAATCGAGGAAATAATAATTTACACGTAGAATTATTAAGAAACATGGTGAAAATAATACTGATTACGGTTTATAACGTTATCTAATATGACGAAATGATAGAAAGTATTAATTAAATAATCATCGTTTCGAAAATTTTAATCAATTATCCCAACACGTGCATAATTAATTAATTCGAATTCCATTATCGATTATTTCACTCGATCGAGAAATATAGGCCGTTATTCAATTTTTCAACTTATTTATAAATAATAAATGCGCGGGAAGTAATCTTAATCTGCATCTTTGCAACAACAAAGAGAAGGCAGTCCGCGTAAATAAGAAGCCGATTCCTCGTTTCACGAGCAAAAAGGAGTTGAGCGGCAGACAAAGAGCACAGAATGGGATGAATGATCGTGGAACATGTGTATGCATTTACGGAGTTTCAAGGGCTTTTAATGCGTAAGAGAGTCTACGTTATTCTTATTGTCCCTGATAAATCAGCTCCCGGTGTTGGCCTCGATAAAGTGGCAAATTATCTTCTTTTTTTCCCCTCCTCCCCCCCCCCCTTCCTTTCTTATTAGTTTTACGTCTCGTCTCGTATTTGGTTACACAAACGAACAATTAAAAATTCCTTCTTTCAATTTTAATCGAAGGAATAAGCTTATACATGGAACATATATTACACAATAATACAGGAATAATATTCCAAGTAGATTTTGAAAAAAACTTACCAAGGAAGGTACTGCATATGTATTCCGATATCTGGTTGCCGGATTTCGAGGATTCTGAGAAATGGGACAGCTCTTTGTTCAGCATACGCTTGAACTGTAATCAGAAAGAAAAATACACGTTTAATTAAATTTCTTTAGATTAGATTCATATTTTTTTTTTCATTATCCCTTAACATAACCTAATCTCCAATTTCTATTCGTTCATCGAGAGATATATATATAAGAATTTGAATCTCATTGTGAGACAATCACGTGGCAAAGATTGATCGGAACGCAAGCCGCAAAATCCAAGAATTCCAAGATGGACGCACATCTTGGATCCAAGTTATCTCGTAAAATTTATAATGTTTGCTCGTCTGTTGCGCGCAATTTCGACGCATATAGTTCGTTTAGACGTAGATCACCGGCTTCTCCCCGCTGTCACAAGCGTTATCAAGAGTTCATCATCTCAGCCAATGAAAGAATTCCTACGTCTACGTAGTTCGATGCAAATGGGATGGGTTGGAAGAAACGGCAGCAAGAGTGGACTGACCTGTTATCTCGATCGATACAAGTTCGAGATCTGTAACACTCTGTGTTTACTCTTCCAGCTGAGCAGCTCGTGCTCANTGTTATTTATTATTTTTTACATATATATGTAAGAGAATATTGTGTTTAATTATTAAGCTACGTTTCGAAGGAGATTTTTAAATATTCAGAAATGGTTTTTCAATTCCTTTGTCCCTGAATATATATATATTTTTTTGTTATTTGTTATTTAACTGTTAAAATCATCAGTCTAAAAGTTATATATATATATGTTAAAAATAGTTTATGAATTCTCATATTACCAAATATGGTCATAAATATTAACTATAACTGTAATAGATAGATTTCTGTGAATTTTGTTATTATATATATATATATATATATATATGTTAAAAATAGGTTTTGAATTCTCATATTACCAAATATGGTCACTTAAATATTAACTATAACTGTAATAAATAGGTTTCTGTGAATTTTGTTATTTATTATTTGTCATTCAGATATTAGAGTCATAGAAACTAAGTTGACGATTAACGAGTTTCAATGGTTATTTTTCACGAATAATAATTAGGTCATCATCGATAAATTATCGAACGTTCCTTCTCCAGCACGTAGAGGGCATGTCGCGAAGAAACGCGTGCTCGTACACCAATTTTGAACGCCAAAAGAAAAAAGACGATCGCTTCTAATTAATCAATGTCACCGTATAATCATAAATAAATTAGACTTAACCCGCACGAAAAAGAAGAGAAGCAAAAAAAAAAAAAAAGCTTAAAAGCTTAATTTTATCAATCTTTATTTTAATTACGGAGAGAGAAATAATATTATCGTGTCACGAGACTCTTTTTGACGAAAAAAATTTTTTTTATCGACCAAGAAAAGAGAGGAAGAAAAAAAAGGAAGAGAAGAATTTAATATTTTATATTATATTTTATAATATAAATATAATATAAACAAGAAGGCAATTTAATTAATATTTTAGGTAAGAAAAGTTTAATATTTTATATTATATTTTATAAACGAAACACTCGTTACGTAACGCAAGTGTAAGTATAAGAATAATCGTAACATTTTAATTAAATCGTCATCGATCAAATCAATCGATAAGGGTATCGATTATGTCGTCATCGGGATTAATCTCGCGTGTAATTTGTCGATCGGCCCGCATTAAACTCTGTGATTGCCCGATAAAGTGTGTAATCGAGTTCATCGATTCGCGATATTTCCAAGCCAACAGGCGGCGGCTGCGTCACCGATACGCACATTTCCCCCTCTCCCTGCGAATCTCCCTCGTGCGCCGGTGGAGTTGAATTGATAATTCAATTTTTTTCCCGCGTGTCGTTTTTCTCTTCTTTTTTTAAAAACGATCGATGGACACGTCTCTCTCTCTCTCTCTCTCTCTCGACGTTATGCAACGTATTAAGATAGGTCAAGGATAAATTTTGCACGGCTGGCGCGTTCCACGAGGAGGAAATTGGATTGAAGAAGTTATAGAAGATTTATACAAGATTTATAGCCCGTTTTGAGGTTCTTTGCGAAGGAGGAAAGAAATTCTGTCTTCTGGACGGAACGGTGTCTATGAATGATATTTTTATTATCAATTAATTCTCGATAAAACAGGTTGACAACAAAAGTCATATGACGAGGAATATTATTTATTTATTGATCGTTTTAACTTTTATTCGATATTAATTGTTAATTAAATATTACGTGACCCGTACGAGACTTTTCTTGGAATAATTTAATTTCTTTTTCCTCCAACAAATATTATTGAAAAACTTAACTTGTGTTCAAAATAAACATCGCTAATAATAACTTCATCGACTGTAGAATATAAATATTTGATCCAAGCAATTCGAGATGATATTTCAACACTATAACTATCATATATCGTTCTTTTTTTTTTTTTAAACTACAATTATAATATACATAGATATAATCTAAAAGAATACTGTACACCTATGCTGAATATTCATCAAAAGTCTTGAAACACGCATGGTAAATGTCGTACTTGATTACCTCATTCATCGATTTAATGTAAGAGATGTAAATATTATAAACGATAAGATGATGAACGAATAAAAATACACGCAAGAACATATACAATGTGATGTAATTTTCTTATCAAAGAATACGTAGCGATCAAAGTAATCTAAATCTATTATCTAGGATAAATCATTATGATAAACTACTGGGTACTACTGATCATTTTCAATTATTATCACGAATGACGTGTTCTGACTATCGTTAATCAAGCTATCATTGTTCAAGTTCTTTAAATCCTCCTTTGGAAATTACCACTCGATAATTTTTTTATCTTCTCGGTAAGGAAAACTTTCTCGTATCTTGGAAAAATTCAGTGATCGGAAAATTTTACGATCGAAATAGCGTATATCTGATATCAGTCGAAACGCAATCTACAAGTTTTTCAAAGCATTTCAGTTAAACGAAATGTATTATAAAATGAGTTGTTCTGAAAATTATACTCTCTTTGTGTAAATTGTAAAAGTAATGAATTGATCCTTTTTTTTGCTTTAATTATGTTATATCGTGAATAAATTATAGGCACGATGGATAATTAATCTTTGTTGAATTCTTGTTGTCAATAAAATTTTGTTATAGTTATACGATTTTGTTAATGAAAGCAGAGATAAATTTTCGAAAAGAATATTATCCACGATGTATCGATCTATTTATAAGAATTGATAATGATTAAGCAAGGCTTAATAACGTTAATATCAAGAAAATATAAATGTTCTAAAAATAGAAAAAGTTGTTGTAATAAAATGGAGTAAATAGGCTTACAATATTTAATAATAGATTGGAAAATAGATATTGATTCGAATTTTTAATTCTATTATCTAATTCTTATTTCGATATTATTTTCTTTGTTAATTAATAATTTTTTATTTGTCGACAGAAAAGAAATCATTGAAAGTGTTTTTTATAAATATCGATGAGTTAAGAAAATAATAATAAAATTTCTTTTGTACGTTTAACAATAAGATCCTCTTAAGGCATTATCTGTACACGAAAAAGTGTATAAATAAACTCACTATACTTTTATTGTTAATTATCAATTAATTCTCGATAAAACAGGCTGACAACAAAAGTCATATGTCGAGGAATATTATTTATTTATTGATCGTTTTAACTTTTATTCGATATTAATTGTTAATTAAATATTACGTGACCCGTACGAGACTTTTCTTGTAAACATTCTAAATCGCACGTCGATTGATAACGCTTATCACTAGGATTCTTTTTAAAAGTTTTTTCCGTACTTTCTTCAGATAAAAGCAATTTGAACGAAAAGTTCTCTTTGTTAAAAAAAACTCCTTACTTCGTCCTTTTCTTTTTCAATTCACAGATTTATAAGTGGAATAACCTTTCGCGAAATTTAAAAAGTGAAAAAAAATTCATTTCACAATTTCCAGTTTTTCAAATTCCTCCAATTTAAAAAGAACAAAACCAAGATCCAAATTGAAACGGAATTCTATATTAATTCATTCCCAAAATTCTCAATTTCCAGTTTAAACCAGTCCAAAAAATTCCCTCCAAAATATTTAATTTGAAACGTAATTCCAATTAGATTCAATTCTATCCATCATCATCTCGTGACCATTCATATATACGATACAATTAAAATTTAAACCAGTCCAAAAAATTCCCTCCAAAATATTTAATTTGAAACATAATTCCAATTAGGTTCAATTCTATTATCTCGTGACTATTCATATATATATAGGATACAATTAAAATTTAAACCAGTCTAAAAAATTCCCTCCAAAATGTCCAATTTGAAACATAATTCCAATTAGGTTCAATTTTATTATCTCGTGACCATTCATATATGTAGGATACAATTAAAATTTAAACCAGTCCAAAAAATTCCCTCCAAAACGTTTAATTTGAAACATAATTTCAATTAGATTCAATCCTATCCATCATCATCTCATGACCATTCANTATATATATATATATATATATACAATACACTCCCAAAATTCTCAATTTCCAATTTAAACCAGTCCAAAAAATTCCCTCCAAAACGTCCAATTTGAAACATAATTTCAATTAGATTCAATCCTATCCATCATCATCTCGTGACCATTCATATATATATATATACTTTTACTCAGAATCTGAGAATCGATTTCTCAAATCAGATGTCACGTCTCAAATCAGAGTGTTGATTCTTCCGCGTGCCCGCCATTTCGTAGAAAAATTATGCACCGCGCGAATTACGCGCTAACGATTCGATCAACGCGCGTTCGAGAGCCGCGCACGACGACAAGATAGCGTTAATCCATCGCGATATGTTACTGTAAACAAAGTAGATAAAGCATCGATGATATCTGAATATTGGAAAACAAGATTCAACCGTGTAGCATATACATATATGTGTACAGCCTGAATCGATCGCCTCTGTTTCCACAGGAGAGATAGAGATAGAGATAGATATAGAGATAGATATAGAGATAGAGAGAGAGAGAGAGAGAGAGAGAGAGAGAGAGGGGAGGATTTTCGACGATCGAAAAATTGACTCGTTTAACCGATTTCGAA